TTTTTGTGCCTTTTGTTGATGATTTCACCATTTAAAATGGCCACCCAGCACAGTGCTAAAGTGCTGCCTGGTGCTCCTCAGCGCAAGAAGGCTGTGATGCAGAGAACATGAATGAGAAACTTCGTCCAGGCAAGAATGACAGTGCGGTGGGCCATGAGTTCAATGTCAATGCATTAACAGTCTATCTTCAATGAGGTGTCTTTAAACAGAAACTAATATGAGGTTGTATATTGATTAGTTGATAAAAATGTCATGACCAGTTCTTAAAGGACTGAATCCTATATTTTCCTTAGGAGCAAGAGTTCAGTATTCAATAATATAGTATTTGTGTCAACTTTGGAGAATGCAATTACTGCAAATAATGATAATCGACTTTGGGGAAGGAACAAAGTGCCACCTTTTCCAATACTCCAAGCTCCCTGTCTTTGGAAAGATGCCATTAGGCTCAGCCTAAGTCCTCCCTCGCTGTGGAGAATCATCTTGAGTTTTGCCTAAATCAATCCCTCAGACAGCAACTTATGTATGTTCTCTCAGGCCACAGATGAAGGGACAGTCTGTGAGGCTCCAAGTGCACAGATGTTCTGGCAACTCCTCCCTACCACTGCCACTCCACAAACTACCTGACCAGGGCGTCTTTCCTGGCTTTGAGGAGGAGGGAAGGCTGAGAGCTTGAACAAGTCCTGCTCCTGCTCCCCACCAAGGCAGATAACAAGAGGTCATCCTGAGCCCCTGTTTTCCCACCACTCAGCCACTGGGGAAGGCCACCAAACCTCTGAAAATTATTATAACTACTATTTTTGAGACAGAGTCTCACTATATCACCCTCTGTATAGTGTCGTGGCATCACAGCTCACAGCAACCTCAAACTCTTGGGCTTAGGCGATTCTCTTGCCTCAGCCTCCCAAGTAGCTGAGACCACAGGCACCCGCCACAAAACCCGGCTATTTTCTGTTGCAGTTGTCACTGTTTAGCAGGCCCAGGCCTGGTTTGAACCTGCCAGCCTCAGTGTATATGACCGACATTGTAACCACTGTGCTATGGGTGCCGAGCCCAAACCTCTGAAAGTTAAAAGCATGCACTAGGAGATCCTAAGAGTCAACTAACGATGTACAGAAGCTCTAAGGAGCCCCAGGTGTGGCTGGCCAGCTGGCGACTTCCCTGTCATTCTTCACTCATCTTGCTGGCTTTTCCTTGAATTTCTATACTCTCCTCACATGAAAAGGCCTTAAAAAGAGCTAAATCTCCCAAAGACGTATGGTCATGAAAAAGGGCTAACACACATTGATGCAATGACTAAGCCACTAAAAGCCACCTACAACATTGAATGCAAACAAGCAGATTTTAGCATCTGGCTCAACCACTCAGTTTAAAGTACCTTATGGAAATTGTATTTCTTGAGTCCACACCCAACACAATGGGGAAGAAACCAGAGGGGGAAGCTGAACGGCTTGGCCAAACTGGCCCAGATCAAAAAGTGTTCAAGATGATCTATAGAGTGGAACATCAGAGCCATTTGTGGACCCCAGGACCAGACCGGCAGTGACTCTGGAGCAGCTTCTAGAACATGCTCTCACCTAATGATGGGTTGCCCTCGGTCATATGACTTCCTTCTTGTCAGAGGGGATGTCTCTGTGCCTCGAGACTGCCGGGGGCTGCAAGAGAGGGTCCAATGAGGGCCAGGCCCAACTCTGGGCCCACCCTGACTTACGTTTCTAACTCCCGTCCTTACAAAGTGCTGCCCCGGGTGGGCAGGCTGACGGTGCGTGAGACCTTGTCCCGGTAGTAGGAGTCTCGTACAGAGAAACCCACTCCATCCTCCTTGATCTCAACAAGGGAGGCCAGGGACTTGGTGATGTTCTTGGTGGAGATGTCCAGCGGGGGACCCAGGCACTCTGCTGACACAGCCTTCATTTGGGCAGACAGCTTAGGCTCACCCTGGGAAAGGAAGGATGGGGTAGACCAACTACTCAAATAGGATGGCACATAAAAGGAGAACCAATGAAAAGTCTAACGAAATGGGAAATGGGGCTGCCTCAGCAACAAGTGGAGGTGCTTGTTGGAAGGACCTAGGCAGGGATCTCCCAGAGACTTCTGTGCACCACAGCTAACCTCTCCAGGCTCCCAGAGAACTCAGAACAGCTGAAATTGGTTTACTGTCCTTAGTTGGGCTATGCAAACCCAGAATACCCAGACTAGATTGTTTGCTGGTCACCAGCAAATCAGCATATTCTAAAACTATGCATAATTTACTATTCCCAGTCTGTAGTTTTTTTTTTTTTTCCTATTCTTTCTATAAATCTCCTATCTTGGTTTAGTCTAATAACTGACCTTTGCTGTTTAGTCTAATAACTGACCTTTGCTGTTAAGTAAACTCCCTTATTGTTGACTCCCATACTACTGAGTCAACTATCTGCATTCAAGATAACTTAGTAAAATATGAGGCAGAGAGCCACAGGTAGGAGAGATTTTTGAAAGTGGGGCCCCTGGTTATGGTTATGTGGCCAGATAGAGCGGAAATAGAGGCCAGCAGTGGCTCTGGCCACTTCTCTGACTTTCTACCCATCTCAAAAGGAATAGGCTACAACAGGTTGCATATCTGGACACTCCCTAATTCCAGGCTAGATCTCAGCAATTCCATCCCATATGAGTTCAAGGCAGGGTTGGGCAGAGCTGTGGAGAGACTGGCCCTACTTCATCTCCTACCTGACTTCCAGTGGAGCTCACCTTGAACTTGAAATCATCGTGGCTAGTAGAACCTTTCATGGTGAATGACTGGGAGAAGCTGGAAGTAGAAAGACGCAAAGAGAGCTTAGGATCCCCATATCCTAGGTGCTGGCTCTCTGGGACTGAAAGACTTATGGGTCCCAAAGAGCCCCCAAATCTAGATTCAGCCCTTGGCACCCTATGGCAATGCCTCCTTGCCAGGCCCAGAAGATGCTGTGAGCCTATCTCCGACTCCTAGCTTGGAAACTCACCTCCCCTCTGAGAACTCTGAGATCTCCTCGTCAGTGCTGGCATATCCATTCTCTGGGGAGGAAGAGGTGGGGAGAGAAAATGAGAGGCCTATAGGAGTGTGGAGAGAGAGCGGAGGGACCCCCTCCCTCCTGCAGCTCACTTACTAATCTCCCTCCCAGGCATCTGGGTAGCTCTGGGGAAGCAAGAGCCTCCCGGCGTCAGACCCGGGGAGCCCTGGGAGTCCCTGGGCACAACGGGGCATCTGCCCACACCTCCCCATACCCTGCTGCACGTTGTAAATGAGGGCCTGTAGCTCGGGGTGCGCCTCCGCCTTCTCACGCAGGGCATCCAGAAGCAGATGGTTCTGGGAGGAGCCGGCCATGTCTGTCTGCCTCAGCCGGCCCTCCAGCAGCCGAATCTGGGCCTCCTTCTGTGCCACTTGCAGCCCCTGAGAGCAGGGAGCAAGGCCTGCAGTTACCATTCCTGGGCTGTGGATCTCACAACCTGCTCCCACTGGACTCCTAGAAGGGCTTGCTTCCAGCTCCTGGGTATTACCCCCAGCACCCTTAGTTCCCATATGCACATGTTAGTAGAGGTCATCTTGGGACATACCCTGTTACGGGCTGAAGTGTGTCCCCCCAAAGCTTATATGTTCAAATTCTAACCCCTAATACCTCAGAATATGACTATATTTGCAGATAGTGCCTTTATAGAGGTAATGCTGTCATATGGGTGGGCTCTAACACAATATGGCTGGTGTCCTTATAAGAAGGAGAGATTAGGACACAGACAGGCATGGAGGGAAGACCACATGAAGACACAGGTAAGAAAGTGGCTATCTATAGCCAAGGAGAGAGACCTCAGGGGTCACTCCTGCTAACACCTTGATCCTGGACCTCCCAGCTTTCAGAACTGTGAGAAAATAAATCTCTATTGTTCAAGCCTCCCAGGCTGTGGTACCTTGTTATGGCAGCCCAGCAAACTAACATAGTCCCTAGACACAAAGCAGAGCTGAGAGGAGCCCACTGGGACAGGGAGGAGTCAGGAGGGCAGAGTGTCCTACCTCCTTCCCGCATTAAACCCAGGCATATTATGTGGAGTCTGTCTCCTGAACCACAGGCCCCAGGAGGGAAGGAAGCATATCCTCTGGCCAGCCCTCCACCAGAAAGTGAGAAGAGCCCAAGATACACCAAGGGACACCTGATGTCCTGGCGTAAGCCCTCCCAGACAGCAGGGATAATGGGTGACTGAGACGAATGGGGAGAATGTCTGTCTGTCTCCTCTTCCCCCACCTTCAACATACACACACTTCTCCCTCCACCTCCAAAAGGCTCAAGCCCAGTGCCACTGTAAACAGGACTAGGCCAGGCACACAGGGTCAACCTCCTGGCCCTGCTATGTGCCAGCTTCACAGCTGCAGAATTAAGGCTTGGGGGTTAGGCAGCTTGCCCTAGTCTGCAAGAAACACAGGTTTGGGGGAGCCAGGCCTATGGGCTTTGCCATTAGGCTGTATCACAGATGCGTCTATGCCAAGGTACCCCCTCCCCAGGGATGAGCCAGCAGCTTACCTTGTCAATGGATGCCTTGAGGAAATTGTCTAGCAGGAGGCGGGCTTCCGCCAGAGAGCAGGAGCTGATGACCACTGATGTGTCTGTTGAGTCCAGCTCCTCCTAGGACCAGGAGGCAGAGATCCCTATCACTGGGGCTGCCTCTTCCACCCATCTCTCCCACCTCTGCCCCGCCAGGCCCAGCTCTGTAGGCACCTTGGTCTCCTCTAGCTGCACAATGGTGGCCTGGCAATCAGTGATGCTGTCGTTGATGTAATCGATGTTGGCCGCCAGCACCTCGATCTCCTCAGCCAGCTCCTGCAGCCCCTTCTCCTCCTCGGGACTCTCAGCCTGCAGCCGCTCCCGCTTCCTCCTCAGCGCCTCCTGCAGGAGGAATAGCTCCTCCCTTTTCTGGGGAGTGGTTGTGGTGGAGGAGAGGCCTCAGGTGCTGCCCTGCTTGCCCACAGCTACCACCCCAGGACAGCCTGCAAGGCCCCCCAGCGCCTCTGGATTCCAGAGCAGGAGGAGGGGGACTGGGGAGAATTCTGAAGAGCCAGAGAAGTCAGAGGTGACAGACAACAGGGGCAAGAGTGGGACGGAAGGGCTCACCTTGATGAGCCGCTCCATGTCAGCCTCTAAGTTGACAATGGTCATCCTCTGCATGACAATGTCGATGATCCGCCGTTCCAGGGACTGCCACTTGAGCCTTGCAGCCTTACTGAAGCTCTGGCTGGCCCCCTTCTTCTGGAACTTCTTTCTGGTAGACAGAGGCAAAGAGGATTGGGTAGGACTCCCTTTAACCACTGCAGCTCCATTGAGTCTCCACCAGGGGTTGGCAGCCATGGCACCCAGAATATCCCCAAAGCATCCCTCTCCATCATTCCAGTCCTGCTCCCATTTTCCAACCTTCCCACCCACATGGGCCAGAGTACCACCAGGCCACCTCACCGGGCTGGGCGGGTGCCATTGACACTGGGTACAGGGTGGTCGCCCAAAAAGTGGTTGATTTTGCGGTTCCACTGGCGGACGATGCTGGAGACAGAGCGGGCCCCAGATTCGGCCTCAGATGAGGTGGTGCTGGCTGACACCTCAGCCCCGGAGTCCAGCATGGGAGGCTTCAGTCCTACACGCCCTGCCACCCGCTCAGACATGGGCTTGGCCAAGCGCCTCAGAGCAGAAACCTGGTGGGGGAGGGGTGGCAAGAAAAGAGGAAGCCACTGAGCAGGGCCTGGAAGCGTACAAGAGTGGCCAGAGGTTGGACAGGGGGATCACAGAGGCTGCTCTGTGCTGACCTGGGCTGAGGGCCTCTATTCAATGTGAAATGAACATAAAAGTGACTTTCACCCTTCTTTCTCTTAAATGCATAGCTTAGGCATTTGGGAAGGGAGCCTGCAGCCTGGGGTTTCTTGCTGAGCAAGGCCCCTCCCACAGGCCAGACATGACCCAGGCCCTGACTCTGCTTGCTGAATGAAAGAATGGCAGCCAGTGTCAAACGCAGGACCAGGGAATGCTATCTTTATCCCACCTCTGGAAGTCAGAGGCTGGGAAGGAGAAGGGTGAGCTCACCTCCTGGGTCTTCCTCCTCAGGACCATTTCCTGCTGCCGCTTCTGGGACTCCAGAGCTCGGATTTGAAACTGCAGGGAGAGAGGAAGGCTGGGGTCCCCACGCAGGAAACCAAGCACTTTCTGTTTATGCTGGCCAGCTCTGTAGCCAAAAGTTTGGGTTTCAGGGTGGTTCTCAAGCCACCACACTGCTGGTAAAATGGGATCCAGCATTGAGCTGCCCCCTACCCAGAAGTCATGTGAGTCCTCTTTTGTGGTGAGGGCAATTCACTCACCATAGGTGAGGAGTACTGAATTACAACGCTAAGCCTTCCTGGGACTTTTCTGCAGGGCCTGGAGCTGCGCATTTCTGGCTTGCTGGTGACCTTGGGCAAGTTTCTGGCCCTTTTGGGGACTCCAGTCCCTCCTCTGGACATGTCGGGGCTGGGCCAGAGGCCACAGGGGCCTGCCCTTTTCTGACAGGCTATGTGCTCCTCCAAGCACAAATGTTACTGCTTAGGACAGGAACCAGAGCCCACTTGGTCAGTAGGTGCAGCCAGGTACATGGGAGGCCAGGGTTCCAGGGCCGAAGGCTCCTGGGAACCCCAAGAGCTGCCCCTCACCTCCTGTCGCCGCTGCTCCTTCTTCAGCTGAGCAATCTCCCGGTTCCTCTTGGTCTCCACCAGTCGCCGCCGCTGCTGCTCCTCACGCATTTGCTTCATCAGGGCCACCTGGGGCAGGTAGAAGGGCAGTGGTGAGGCAGAGCTGGCCAGCAGGTAGCCCACACCCTCCAGGGAACAGCCAGCAGGGGTAGCAGCAGCCAGGCAACTCTGGGTCAAGACTTGGGGGGCTGGAGCAAGGGGTCCAACCCCCACTCCTCCATGGGCAACCTGCAGAAAGGTGTGGCCTTCTGCCAGCCTAGTGGTGCAGGTGTTCCCACTCTGCAGGGCCTAACCCTGGCTGCCACCACTCAGAATGTCACGGCCCCTGGTGGCCCTTACCCAAAGCCACTGGGTCTGGGTCTGGCCATTCTAAGACCAGCCTGTTTTGCTGCAGGCAGGTAATCAATCCTCTTCCACTGACCACCTGAGCCATGCACACAGCTGAGGTGAAGGTCAGGGCTGAATTCTGGGGCCAGGCTCACAGTGAGCAATAAAACCCACCATTCTTTGAGAACCAGCTATGTGCCAGGCACCACGTTCCTGACAATCAGAGGAGAGGCATTATCGTTCTGTTTTATAAACAAGGAAATGCACCTCAGAGAGACAAAAGGACTTAAAGTCATAAAACTGGTATTGGATGGTCAGACTTGGAGCCAGGTCATGTTGCCTCCCTAATCCTGCTCCTCCTGCAGCCTCCTCCAGCCATGACCCCATGGCAGTTCAGTGAAAAGCTAGGGACCAAGGAAGACATAGAGTGGGGACACAGAGAAGTGTAGCCCCAAACTGCACCAGGAGCTGCTGCAGAACGTGCGGGCCCACGTGGGTGTACTCTCCACCCTGGGATAACAAAGACCCACCGGGCCTCCCTATAAACCACCAGCAGGTGCCAGAAGCCCCGTGTGATCTGTGGGAACTTGTACCCCAAGTGCCTTCAGTGTCATCCTGACAGCCCCATCTCAACACCCCACAAGGTGGATACTCTGCAGTAGCAAGTGAAAATGAGGGTACTTGGGCCAGCCCAGGCCAAGCTTGTCTGGTCCCAGCAAGGCAGGACCTTCTGCACTCTGGTCAGGCTAATAGAGACCCTGAACCTGTGGACCAGGCTCGGGCACAGAGCCTGCCCAGGTGAAGCAGGTGGGCCTCAGTGACAGCCGCAGGTCTACCTCCTCTAGGAACCTGTGTCAGCTCTCCCCATTGCCTCTTTCTTTTGCATGCTGGTCAGCATCAGCCAAGTGAGTGGTGAGGATGCAGTTACTAATGGCTCCTAGAATGCAGACCCCTCTTCCGTTGGCCCCAAGCACAAGGGAGCTTCCCTTTCCTAAGTCTCCATCCAAGGCCAGCCTTCCACAGCCTGCTGGGGCTGCCACCAGTGCCAGGCTTTGCTAGCTCTGGGGCTAGCTCCAGAGCTCGGTGCAGGGCTATGGAGAGCTGGGGTACAGCGGGGGCTGGAGGTCACAGCAGGCAGGAAGCAGGACTGGGAAGGGAGGACGGAAAGAGAATGTGGATCTGCTGAGCCCCAGGCAGGAGCCAGAACACACCAGACACAGGAAGCACAAGACCTGAGCCCCAAAGCCAGGACCTCAGGGCAGGACCCCCAAGACTAGAACACTGTGAGTGGCAAGGTAGAAAAGGCAGGCATTGTGCCACTCAGAACACACACTGGCTTATGGGGTAGAAAACCGAGTTCAAACCCCAGTGCTACCTCTTGGTAGCTAGAGTTAACTTCTCTGAGCCTCACTTTCTCATGCATAAAATGGGATAACAGGACTTCTTTGAGGAGGTCCTCCTAAGAACTGAACGACAAGCATTCAAACAATGGTAATTATTATTACTTAAGGCAAGGGTTGCACCAAATGAGAGGCCTCACATAGAGGCCTTGTGTAGACAGAAGGCTACCATGGTGTAGCCTCCCACCACAGGGGCAGCACAGAGTGGGGTCTCCTGAGAGCGTCCCCTGCCTTGCACCTGCCCCTACGCAATCCACCACTTGCACTGGGAGCAGGTTGTTTCAACCTGGACAATGCACTTGGGGACAATGTCCAGGGCCAGGACAAGGTTGAACTAAGCAATGTTGTGTGTCAAGGGAATCCACTCTTGACCGCAGTGATTCTTTTTAAAATGGTAAGTGGATTCTAAGAAGATGCCGTGTGGACACCCCAGGGCCTGCTCCTCACATCCTCGGCACCTACCTTGGCCTTCTTCATCTCTGCCACCTCAGCCTGCAGCTTCTTCAGCTCCCTCTCGTAGCGTGACTGGTTCTTGAGCAACCGGGCGTGCTCCTTCTGCGCAGCCTGCAGCTTCTGCAGGTCCCGATTCATCTCCCGCAACCTCTTCTCATAATCCGCTTTGATCTTGTTGGCCTTCTCCTCTGTGTAGCACTCCATGGTGCCTAAGTGTGGCAAGAGGCGGTTATCAGTGCCAGGTCCTCAAGGGCTCCCAATAAGTGTGGGTTCATCAAAGGGGGAAGCAAGAATCCTGGGTTCTAGTCTCATTGCATGACCTTCAGCAAGTCACACCTCTCTCTCAGACCACCGCTTTATTTGAACAAGGAGGTTAGAAAGCAGATGCCCAGGCCCCTTCCCACTCTGACATTCTACTGAAATGTGATAGGGGGTGTTTTAATCTTGAGATCTCTGAGTCTCTGGTCCCCAGCTTCCTATGAGGGTCCTATAGCCCACTCATGCTGGCTTGGTTCTGACCCATGATCCAAGACTGGGGAGCCAGTGGGAAGGGTAAGAGCTAGTAAGAGAAGACAGAGTGATATGGGCTGGAGCAGAAGGAAGAAGTTGCTTCTCCACCCTAGACCTCTTCTACCTGAACTACCAACAGACATCTCAACCTTAACAGGCACAGAACCACACTCTTCTTTGCCACCTCTCCCTATCTCCGTGACTATCATCGCCATCCTTCCATAAGCCCACATCTGAGACATCTGTGTCTCCCTCTTCTCAACCACCCACCTCCCATCAATCAACAAAGCCTTCTGGCTCAACCTGCAAAAACAAATCCAGAATCCAGCCACTTCTCACCACCTTCTATCCAAGCCATCTCCTCTGGGATCTTCCTAACAGTTTCCTAAGTGGTCTCCAGCTTCCACTTCATTCTCTTACACAGCAGCCTTTTAAAGATGCTTTTAAATTTTACATCGCAGAGCTTTCTCAAAACTCCACACCTTCCCATCTCCCCCAGAGGATAAGGTGATATTCTTACAATGACTGGCCTGGCCTGGCCCCACGTTTCTTTCCCTATCTATCCCCTTTCACTGTGCTCCAACTGTTCTGGCCCCTCAACCTTCCACCAACATGCCAGGCACATGCCTGATGCCGGGTCTCAGAACCTTCTGTTTCCTCTGCCTGGAAGGCTCTCGCCCGCCTCTCTTATTCTATCTCATCTCTTTCAAGTGTTTGCTCAAATGTTATCTTCTCAGTGAGGTCTTCCATGATCATCCTTTTAAAAACTCTGACCCACTCCTTAGCATTCCCTGTCTATTTTCCCTGCTGTATATTTTTCATAATACTTATCACCATCTGACATGCCATAGATTCTGCTTATTTTTTGACTGTCTCTGCCCACTAAAAGGTACACTTCATGGAGCCGGGATTTCACTTTCTCCTATATCTTTAGCCCCTATAACAATGTCTGTTCTATCAGATGCATTCAACATACATTTGCTGAATAAGTGGATGAATAGATGAATGAATAAAGCAAGAAAAAAAAAAAAGAAATGAATGGGCTGAAAAGCAGTGTACGGAAGACAGAATGTTAGAACAAGGTCTGTAAATAGGTCCAATATCTAAGGACATCCAAAATATCCAAGGAACTGAGAAAAGGCCAGGGTTGTCACATTCATGCGCCTAGTTATATGAAAGCTTCTAAGTTTTAAAAAAGATTAATTTAGATTGTTGCATAGGAACTACAGTTAGACATAAGAACTTTTGATTATGGGTCAAAGGGTCACAGTCAAGGGTCAGAAGACCCTTGCCCAGAAGGCCAGGTGAGTCCCCAAGATGCCAGCTGCTGGGTGGTACTTTTGGCAAGGGAGGAGCTCAGGGGAAAGGGCCTGGGTGGGGTCCAAGCTGGGACCCCTGGGTAGGGGTGGGAGTGGCGATGGCCTCACTGAGGTTCTGCAGCACACGGTCACGCTCCAGCTGCGTGTCGCGGATCTTGTTCTGCAGCAGAATCAGCTTCTCCTCGTACTGGTGCTTGAGGGTCTGCAGCCGCCGCTGGCTGTTCTCCAGCTCGTCAATCAGCTTCTGCTTGATCTCGATCTCGCACGTCAAGTCTGCCAGGTCCGCCTGGAAGTTCACTTCTGTGGGGGCAAATCCAGGCTCAGTCCAGCCCAGTGCCAGTGTGAAGTGGGGAGCAAACTTGCCAGTCCTTGTGTGTGTGTGTGTGGGGGGGGCTGGGGCCCTCCTTTGGTCAGCCACAACCACTCAGTGACAACAGATAGGTAGAATGCTGCCAGAGGGGACAACACATTTAATGAGCGGCCCAGAAATGCAAGGCTGGGCTTAGGAGCTTAAAGAGGGGATCAAGACATCCTTCCCAGCTCTGCTGTGAAGGAGATGTGTGTCATCTACCTGCTGCAGATGACATGTGATCTGGCTTGGGTGGAGGGAGGTGAGACAACAGAGAGCACCTTTCAGGGCTGTAGGGCCAGAGATAGCAGCAGGTAGAGCTGAAGGGGCAGGCAGTGTCCCCGTTTAGAGGAACGGGCTTTGGCACCAGCCAGACCTACACTCTGCCTGGGCCAAACTGGGGAAAGTCACTAAACCTCCTGAGCCTGTTCTTTAATGGTAACATTGTGGGAAATCTCGCAACACCGCACAGAGGGTTATAGCGAGGACTACACAAAGGGTCAAACTAAGCACGTGCCTGGCATGCAGTGAGCGTTCAGAAAGTCTTTGCTGCCATTATCATCACTGCTGCTGCTGTTATTAGTTTCGTGTCTTGGAGCTCTGGGCCCCAGACAACAACTATTTCTGAGACCTCCATCGTGGCCTGATCCCACCCCTGGGCACTGGCTGCCAGCTGTCTCGTGTCCCCCCAGCCCCCGGCCCAGGCCCACAAACCCTTTTCCTCGGGATCTGAGTCTGAGTCCACCAAGCTCTCCTCGCTGCCTGTGTCCTCATCTTCATCTTCACGTCCTTCTTCCTCCTCACAGCCACTCTCATCTTGCTCTTCCTCCTCCTGAGCACCAAGCACCATGGGGTGACCCAGCCTCAGGAGAGGGGAGCCCAGAAGCAGAGGCCCACTGGGACACAGTGCCTCAGGTGTACCAGGAGGTCTGGGACTGGGGTGGGGCAGGCCATGATTGAGGCCCCTTCTACCCACCCTCACTTCTATTTTTTTTTTTTTTATTTGAGACAGAGCCTCAAGCTGTCACCCTGGATAGAGTGCTGTGTATGACATCACAGCTCACAGCAACCTCCAACTCCTGGGCTCAAGCGATTCTCTTGCCTCAGCCTCCCAAGTAGCTGGGACTACAGGTGCCTGCCACAACGCCCGGCTATTTTTTGGTTGTAGTTGTCATTGTTGTTTGGCAGGCCCGGGCTGGATTTGAATCCGCCAGCTCTGATGTATGTGGCTGGTGCCTTAGCTGCTTGAGCTATAGGCGCCAAGCCACCACCCTCACTTCTAGAAGAGCACCACCTCCCCAACACCTGGGCAGAGTCTCCTGCGAGGGCCTTCCTCCCTACATCATGCTTTTGGGATGAGGTCAGGCCTGGGAGAGGGACAGCACCATGGCAACCAGTCAGAAATAGTGGGAAGCACATGGATCAACTGGAGGCAGACCCAATGCCCTCCCCACCCTGCACAAGGATGCCAATGGGCCCCCAGCCCCCATGGGGAGAAGGGCGGGAGGACCTCACCTCCTCTGCTTCATTGTCATCTGTCTCTTCGCTGTTTTCCTGTTGGAGTTTTGCCCTCTTTTTGAAGGCTTCCTTTTCTGGACTGCTCACAGAGCATAGGAGAGGACAGGTTAGGGAGGTGACAGGAGTGGATGAGGAATGCTCTCACTCAGAGGGCTGGGGAATAGGGGTGGTGCCCACTGTGTGCAGCAGTGAACCCTCCTGCTCTTCTCTGGTACCCCACCCAGAAATAGTCTTGGTTAATTGCCATGCCCCTCTCCTGGGGAAAAAGCCCAACACTGGAGAAGGCTGGGGGTGTGGGGGCTTTTGCCCAAAAGGCTGAAGAATTGTCTCCATGAATTCCCAAGCAGGACTGGGGGAGCCCTCGGAGCTGGGTTGCCAGGGGTGGGAGGGCCTCTGGGATACAGGTGGGGCAGCAGTTCTCCTGGAGGGTGGGTGGGGGCCCAGTGGTACGCATCTGAGGGGAATGGGGCGACACTCTGCTCACCTTTTCCTCCGCTGCCTGACCTCCTTCTTCTTCAGCCGCTCCAGGTCCTGCTTGGCCTTGCGGATCACCTCAGAGGCATCCTCCATGGAGCTGGACGGGCTGGCCCCCAAGACTGGAGCAGCTGAAGCAGCACCCAGGGAGTAGGGACTCCGAGCAGAGACCCTTGAGAGGCTGCGGCGCAGTGACTCTTTCATGGCCTCACTCTCCAGGAGCTTTGTCCTGTGTGGGAGGGGCAAGGGGGCAAGTGTGCAGCCAGTGAGCTGCCATTGCCCTCACTGGCCCAGCTGAGCCCCACTTGCCCCACTTGTCTCCCAGCAGGAGGCTCACTCACCGAAGCTCCTCAATCTCTCGGATGTAGTTCTGGATCAGTGCACCAATGGCCTCATTGCCATCACCTAGAAGTGGGAGGCCAAAGGGGGTGCCATGAAGGTAAAAACAGCAAGGTCCTTCAGCTCTGAGACTGGTGGTCTTATATCTGTGCCTCCCACAGGGTAGCTCACATTGGCCTCTTCCAAAAAGAAATCTATTCCAAAGAAATACTTGTACGTGTGCACAGATGTACACAAGCACTGTCAGTAATAGCGGGCAATTAAAAACAACCCAAAATGTCCATCAATAGAGGGCTGTTATAATAAATTATTCATCACCACATATGGAACACCATGCAACAGTTTAAAAGAATTAATTTTTAATATGGAAAGATTTCTTTTCTTTTTTTTTTTTTTTTGAGACAGAGCCTCAAGCTATCCCCCTGGGTAGAGTGCCATGGCATCACAGTTCACTGCAACCTCCAACTCCTGGGCTCAAGCGAGTCTCCTGCCTCAGCCTCCCAAGTAGCTGGGACCACAGGCGCTCACCACAACGCCCGGCTATTTTTTGGTTGCAGCCGTCATTGTTGTTTGGCGGGTCCAGGCTGGGGATTCGAACCCGCCACCTTAGGGGTATGTGCCTGGCGCCTTAGCCGGTTGAGCTATAGGCGCCGAGCCAATATGGAAAGATTTCTAAAACAAAGCTGAATGAAAAAGGGAAGTCACAGGGCAATATACATAATGTAAGAAAAAGTAGGATATATTTACACATACGTATGAATGTTTATGAATACATACTCATACTTGAAACAATGTACTGAGAAAGGGGTGAAAAAATATACACCAGGCTGCACGTGAAGATTCCTTCTGAGAAGGAGAGAGGGCTTGGGTGGGGAGTTCAGGGAGAAAGGATTTTTAACCTTTTACTTTATATCCTGATGTTTGCACCTTTAACAAGAAGGATGTGTTCATGTATTATTTATATCATATGAAATGTTTTAAAATCAATTAGAAAAAAATGCATATAAGAGTTGATCTGTGAATTGACCATCTGGCTTAGCTCAGACAATATCCTGGGGTGTGTGAGGGGAGAGGAGTCCTAGCCCAATGGTAGTCCGAGCTGGCCTGGCACATTGACTCACCAGCCTTGGCCAGGAGCAGGTTGGCCTCTTGGCTCATGAGCTGGGTAACGCGGTTGTTGATGGCGTCGATGGCCTCTTGCATGGCCTTCACTCGCAGCCGTAATGCGCTGTTCTCCTTCTGCAGCATGGCATTCTCCCGGAACAGGTCGCTGTAGCCCTCAGAGCCATCTTCCCCAATCACCCGCTTGCCCTGGGAATGGGGCATGAGGAACAGTCAGGTACCTCCCTCTGCCAATGCCCTGGCCTTTCCCTGGATGTGGCAGCACTGACAGTGTCTCCTGTTCCAGGTTCCTAAAACACAGTTCCTATCTCCCAGAGCTCAAAATCCATACGCAGCTCCCCATAACAACAAAAATTTCAAATCCTGTAACCAGCCTCAAGGCCTCCCACAATGTTACTCGACCTACCTTTACACTGCTCACTTTCATATCATCATAAATGCCAGTCCAAGGTTCAAAACCATCCCTGGGCCAGGCAATGGCATAAATGAGTCAGTCTGGGTATATAACAACAGGGAGTGGTAGAGACTGAAGCTAATAGGGTTCCAGACTTGGTTTAAAAGGGGCAGCTGCTAGGCTACTCCAACCAACCTAATGCCAAATGTTAGATCTTCAAATTTCTCCTGAAAAACTGAAACTCCATGACTTTCATAAAGGTTGACAAGTAAGTTACATTCTTCTAAACAGGTACAAGCCAAATAAAAATCCATCTCTGTACCAGATTTAGGCTTTGAGCCACCAGTTGATGACTTCAGCCCCAGGCACATGGAATTAGACACTATCCCCAAAGTATTTACTTCTTCCCATTTCTGTTCCTTTGTGTATGGCTTATTCCCTATCGTGAATGTCTTCCCCACCTCCTTTTGATAATACCTCATTCATTCTCCAAAATCCAAATAAAAAGCCCCCTCCTTCACAAGGCCCTCCGTGACCACTCAGGAGAGTAGGACCAACTTTTCCTTCTGTACCTTTGCAGCACACCAAATTATTCCTGTGGTCTCTCCTATCAACTGTGCTGTGTCACAGTCTAGTAGTCTCATCTGTTCCAACACAGCACATTCAGTAGACACAAAAACCTCCCAGAGAATGTCTGCCCTATGCATTAGATCTATGTAAGAAAAGTTGAGGGGCTCTTCTTTCTTCAACTTAGTATTGTAAAGGTTTGGGGGCTCAGACCATGCTTGATTCACCTGTATAAGCCCCAACAGCCAGAACTATGCCTGGCACACAACCAATGTTCAGGAGGTGCATGAGGAGTGGATGGGTAGGTGATGGGAGGAAGGAGGGATGCTGAGGAACTCAGGGTGAGACCACAGGGCACAGGGTGTACAGCAGGAGTGCTGGGGAGAGCCAGGAGCATGCTTACCGCCTTGTACTCCATCAGCTCCATCTGCAGGCGAGCGATCTCTGCCCGTAGTGCGCTTATCTGCTGGCTGGTCTTGTCCTGGTTCACCACCACCTTGTTCTTGATGTTGCGGGCCCGGTTGGCATATTTGAGTGTATTGAGGGTCTCCATGAAGTCTCGGTCTGAAGGGCTCACACAGGCGATCATGATGGTCTGGCTGGGGGTACAGTGAGGCCAGGGTGAGGGTGAGGGACACAGTCAGCCCCCAGGATCACTGCTCCCCTCATTCACCCATTGCCTTCGTGCCTGAAGGACCTGGACATTCAGGAGGACAGAAGCTGGGGTGTGGAGGTCTAGACTACCTGGCCAAGAGTTTCCATTACGACAGTGGGTAACCACAGTGGAGGCAGCTCACAAGGTTGGGGAGGTTGTGAGGTATCATTGACAGGGTCCTCTGCTTGGTGAGGAGGATAAGCCACACAGCCTGTTTTCTGACATTCCCCATCTATTATCCCATTTGGACCATACAACTTCCTTTAGGAATATCCCTCCCTGTTGTACAGATAATGAAACTGAGTTTGACTATAATCACCCAGTTACAGTAATGAAGCACCTCAAGTGTCCTACCTTCTAAACCTGCAGCCCACAGTGGGAAGGCTTTCTCCTCCATGGGCCATCATGCACTACATCCACACGTCGGAATTCTCCAGAAACCCCCATGCCTCCCCTGCCCTATCACGGGCACTGGTCATCAGATACCTGTTGCCCCCTAGCGAGTCCTGGAGGAGCCGAGTGAGTTTGGAGTCCCTGTAGGGCACGTGTACCACCTTCTTGCTCTGGTCCCCCAAGGCGCTGATCACATTGCCCAAGGCCAGCTGTGGGAGACAGACCCTGGCACTTACCCAAGGCAGGAAGGGCAGGGACAAGATAATCCCCAAGCTCTAGGTACCTGCCTCACTGGCCCCTGCATCCCTCAGGCTCCCCAGGTGGGATATAGGCATATGTGATAAGCTGGGGAAATCAGGAAGCTGGGGGCAGGGGAATGCCTGAGGGTGAAGGGCCAGCTGGCAAGAGGAGCGGGGAAGATGGGTGGCCGTGGGGTCATAGGTCTTTGGCAAGGTCTGAGACTAAGCCATGTGTACTGCTGGGCTGGTGGCCCACCAGATGCCTACCAGGCCACAGTTGATGGAGATGCCCTCCTTGGCCCGCTCGCCGGTGGCCCCTGTCCGCTTTAGTCGCTCTGAACCAGCCAGGTCCACAAAGTGAAACTTCGCAGTGAGTGTCTCATACTCGCTCGCAGGAGCTGTGCCCTCAGGAAGGCCAGTGACCTCGCTCACCTGTAGAAGTTGGCAGCTGACTCCCTCACCTCACCCCCCAGCTTGCTGCTCCTCTGCCAGGGCAGGCTGCCCTTAGCACATGCAGAGCATCCAGCAGTGTAGGCAGTTATTTGGACATGCCTGGCTCTCATTCAATCCTCACAACACAATGATAGGGACATGGTTAGTCCATTGTATAGATGGGGTAACTGAGGGTTAACAAGCAAGAAAAATAAAACTCAGCAGGTGGCAGAGGTGAGCCCCAATTCTGGTTTGCTATGTCTAGATCTATGGCTCCTCCTCCTGCCCTCTCCGGGGTACCGTGAGGCAGAGCAGCTCCTAGGACCCCCAGGGGCTCCTCACCAGGTCTGGCTGGGCACACACACGCATCTGGCACAGGTGGATGGTGAAGATGGCGTGGGAGCGGGAGCTCTGAACGTTCATCTGGGTGCTGGCTGTGGTGCGTGACAGGGCCCCCTGCTTCAAGCACTGGATAAGCTGCGGACAGAGGCAGAAGTGAGGACTCAAGACTTGCTATGCTGCCAGCCCTTGCCCTTTCAGCATGCCCTGGGCCCCCAGACCTCCAGGGGACTCACCTCCTCCTGGGAGTGAATGAGGCGAGAAGTAACACCTGTGGTGTAGATGCTACCATTCGCATCTTCATGGATCTTGATGTTGGACCTGCGGTGGCGGGTGTCGGGGTCACGGGTGCAATCAAACAGGTCAAGGATCTCTTCATTATAGAGCTGTGTGAGGAACAGGCAACTGATAAGTTCACATGGCATAGTGTGGGCCCCAGGGGGCTGTTTTGTGTTTATAAACCATCTCTGTTTGCAGATATGGAAACCGAGGCTCTGGAGGTCAATTTGTCCAACGCTGCTCCTCTCTGAGTTCTAAATTACATGGTCTTTCTCCTGGACAGAGGTGGGAGGGCAGCTGGGCTCTGGACAGAACTATCCCAAGGCTGTACACTGCTCCTCCATTTCCTAAGGAACTGACATCCAGCACCTCCCAGCCCCTGCAGGGAGCTAAGGACCTGCCTTGCTGGCCCCTGCATCCCTCAGGGGGGTCCTAGATGGAGGTTAGGAAGACACAGCCATGATCTGGGCAGAGCACTACATTTCTGGACTGGGAGTCAGGGGATAGGAAATGTGATTCCAGATGAGGAAGGGCAGAAACAGAACTCACTGGAGACCTGGGGAGACTTGTTCTAATCCCAACAGTCCCTGGGAGCTGTGATAAGCTCCCTGTGTGGGAAAAACATATCTATGTACTATACCCTATGCTCAGGAGGGAAGGTGGGCAGGGAGAGTGTGCCATGGTGGCCCAGCCTCATGAAAAGAGCCTGGTAAGACTCTTTTGTGGGAGGTGACCTGGCCAGAAGCAGGTAGTCTCAGCCGTGGGATTCCTGTATTTGGAACCACTGGCAGGGAAAGCTTCATCCCACTGAAGGTCTGGGATGTTCAACAAGCAGGGAGCTGGGGTTGGGGGGCATGAGAGAAGAAGATGGGGCAGTTGGCACAGCAGCCAAGAAAATGCTGTAGGGCAAAGAGGGGACTGCAGCCTTGGACATCCGAGGCTTTGATGCCCTTAAAGGGACTGAAATATCCTACAGGAAGGGGAAGAGGAAACGGAAGGGATGGTGCCGGTGGGGGGCCACAGTGAGTGTCTATCTTTCTGTGTTGGGACAGACACACTGAATTATTTAACCTCTTCTGTTTCACCCTTTGGTGTTGATTTTCTAAGAACTAGCTTGCTCTTTGAGGATCTCCATGGCAACAGGATGAAGAAGGAAAGAAAACAGATAAAAGAGAAAATCTTAGAGATACACAAGCAGCAGGACACATGTGCACAAGCACTCACATACACACACACACACACACACACACACAGAGGCAGTCCCATTTCTCAGAAGCTAAAGTCCAGAAGGTTTAAGAACCACCCCCAAGTCTGAAATGTGGGGTCCCTGGATACCCTAAGGGAATGGCAGCTACCCTGTGTACCCCGGAGGGTCAAGGGTGGGCATGAAAGGCCCAGAGGAGGCTTAGGCCTCATCCTTCCCTCAATGGGCAATGTGAGTGCAATCAGTTTATGGGGTGAGTACCCAGGATGGCTGCAAACCCAGCAAATGCCTCAGAGCTATGGTTCTTGGGTTGGGGTTTTAGATGCCAAGAATCAGAGCTGTCTATCCACGTGTCCTAGAGGAGGAGCCAGGTCAAGTCGGGCTTTCATGAGTAACGTCCAGGTCCATCTACCTTTAGAGAACCAATCCCCTCTGAAAGGGCACCTTACAGGCAAGAGCTCCTACTTCTAACCTATCTAGCTGGAGCTTAGCACAGGCCCAAAGGTTGAGTGTCCAGAGACCCTGCCACCCCTAAAAGCCCCTGGCTACCACAGGTCCAGGCCCAACATTCTCCCAGAGAAAGTCCCCTTTGAGAAGACCTTTCTGCCCAGAGGTCAGAGCAGAAGCAGCCACGGTGGGTCAGCCTCCTAAGAGGAGCTTCTCAGCCAGAGAGGGACAGGGCAAGCTGAGAAGGGGCCCAGAGAAGCCCAGAAGGGAAAGAACCAGAGTTCTCACGATACACCAGGCCTACACTTCCACGCCACCCTCACAAAACCCCCAGTGAAACAGATATCACCCCCACTTTGCAGATGAGGCCCAGAGTAGGTCACATGGCTAGTAAGTGTGAAAGCTAGAATCAGTCAGGGTCTGGAGAGGTCTTTATAGGTCACTGACTCAGCCTCTATCTGACGCAGGAAATCCCTTCAGAATATCCCACCAAATACTCCTCCAGCCCTCACCTGGACTTTTGGTAGCAGGAAACTTACTACTTCTACCTGTCCCCATGGCTCTCTAGGTTCATCTCATCATGCTGGAAGGGGACCCAGCTCCCATGCTTGTAGCCCACCAAGTCTCCCTCCTGCCACCCTATAACACCACAGTACCTCCAAGAACTGAGCGCTGACTTTGAACTCAGGCCCAGCCACGCCCTGTTCCTGTGCCCGACGCTTGCGCTCAGCGATGCCCCCAAAGAGGTGTGCGATGGCCCTCGGGATGATGCCCTGCTCCTCCTCCGATGTAGCCATGTCAAAGCCAGTGCCCATAGTGTATGTCTTCCCAGCCCCCGTCTGCATCAACAAAGATAAAAGGAGGGTGTTACCCAGTTCCTTTCCCAAAGCCACACCCTACTGAAGCCTCTTAGAGGCTTCCCTCAGCTAACCAGCAGCATGGTAGCATCCTCAAACAGACAGAACTGTGTGTGCAGCTGTGTCTCAAATGCTTTGAAGGTAGAACTGTCTCCTCATCAGGAGGGGGACCAAGGTTGGAGTGACCATTGGTGGAATACAGGTGGCTTACCTGTCCATAGGCCAGCACTGTGGCATTGTAGCCCTCAAAGCAGCCCTCGATGAGCTTGTTCACACAGGTTGAATAGATCTGTTCTTGCCAGGTGTCCAGGTCAAAGACAAAGTCATAGGTGAAGGCCTTGTCCTTCCCCAGCAGGACCTGGGGTTCTCCCGGGGTAACAGAGGTGCAGATGTGACAGCCCTCAATCTTCTCCTTCGATAGTTGAGGCCGGATCCTGCCCAGGACAAGGAGAGCCCTGGGTCAGGCCCAGGTAGAGAGAGGCTGCTACAGGACCCACCCTCGCACCACCTGGCAAGATTCCTCTCCTCCATAGACCAGGGGAGGTGGGGGAGGAAGCGTGGGAGCCTTCCAGAGGATATGGGCAACTTTTGTCATACAATAACAACAACAATATCAACATCACCAAAACAGCAGTTGCCAACATTTATCGAGCACTTTGTATATATGAGATCTTGTGTGTTCAATACAAGAAATACGTGTTCAAAGTATTTCACGTAAATTAATTCATGTGTTTGTCACTATAAGGCTGTGACATACGTAATTTCCTAATTTTACAGATAAGAAAACTGAAGCTGAGAGAGTTAAAATGACTTGTCGAAGTTGTATGATGGGGAGTGACAGAGCTAAATCCAGGTCTGTGTGAAATAAAAGCACGTACTCCTAATTGGACTGGGAGCCCTGAACACTGGCTTCTCTAGGAGAGCAGATAGCCTACCCACTTGCAGGGAGACAGAGCTCAGGGTCAGGATGGAGAAGAGAGAGGCAGGCCTAGGTGCTCCTTAGAGCTCTGGACCACATTCTCCAGAGCCAAGACTTAGTTCTAGATGGGACCAGAGCCTCTGCCAAGACCTGTCGGGGCTGCAAGGGTCCTCTAGTCCAGGAGCCCCTTCCCAGATGCCAGAGCCTGGAGGACATTCTGAGGCACAAGCTCTGGTTCTTTTCCAGGATGTGAGGGGCCAGTCCAACCCTGGCAGACCAGGTCAGGTCAAAAGTCCCTGTGAAGGACAGGGGCCTCTAGGAAATGGGCCCATGTGCCATACTCTGGTGGGTTCTCCTGTAAAGAGGAGGCAATGTGGCATCAGGAATATATGAGGAGCCAGCCATGGACAGAACTGTCTCCATCTAGCCACCCCTTCCTCCCTCTTCCAAGCAGCCATCACCATGACGAGGTCCCCATGGTAACCAAGCATGAGTCAGTGAGCATGCGTGTACTAGGATTGGCAGAAGGCACCCCTCAAAGCCCCTAAAGTAAAAGGGAGGTGGGTCAGGCTGTCATGCCCATGGGCTCACATAAGCCAGCCTGTCAGTGGGCACTCACAAGAAGCTGCTTGTCAAGCTCCCTCTCTCTAAGCCAACATTCACCAAGAGTAGAAAGAATGCCAGGGACCAGACCAGCACCCACCCAAGGCCCAGAGCTACAGAGCCCCGAGTCTCCAAGTTGCCACCTTGTCTCTGTTCCCTACTGCCCCAACCCCCAAGGCCCACTGAGAGTTACAGGATAAGGGAGGTACTCACCTGAGCCCATTCCCTACACTTGGCCATGAGGAAGTTACATGGGACCAGAGAGGTGGGAGAATGCCTGGGGACAGGAGCTGAGGCAAGTAGAGCTGGCCCAGTTCCTACCCATAGATGAGAGCCTGTGCTTTCTTCAGAAGAGTTTTCCCTGGGGTATGAACAGATCTTCATAGATCAGTGGCTCTCCATTGAAAGGAATGAAAGCTCAAGGAGGTTACCACCCTTATCCAGCTATTCCAGACCCAGATAGAATAGGAGCCTGGGTTTTCAGTCTCCCATCTGAAGTGGCTTCTGGCTGAGAAGGGAACAGCTGATCCCTGCTCATCCTTGTGGTCCTGAAAGAGCCTTCAAGTTGCCACTGTGTCTCTGTCCCCTGCTGCTCCAAGCCCCAAGGCCCACTCTGAGTTACCGGACAAGTGAGCCCCTAGTGAGAGCTCAGGGCCAGCAAGGCTCTCACCTCTATGACCAAGGAAAGAAGCCACACATGTGGCTGAGTGTTCACCACATGCCAGGCAGAATCTAAACTGCCAGCGCCATGAGGTAAGTACTGCCACCCTGGTTTATAGATGAGGAAGTTGAGATGTTGTTCAGCCAGAGTCACAGACAGCCTCTTCAATGGTCCTGTACTGGCTGTCTCTAAGGACCAGGGCTCAGAGTGCCCAGGGAAAAGAACACCCCACGTATGCAGGGAGAACAAATAGCAAGTCAGAGAAAGGGTGTCACACTGCTCACAGGTACCAGACAGGAATCTTGGGCCTGTGCACCCAAGACCAAACAATCTTCCCAGGGCCTCCAGGTGCTTCCAGGTGAACTGAATGTCTAGCCTGGGCAATTTCTGAAAACCCTCCAGCCCTGTTGCTAGCACAGCTCCGGAAGACACCCTCTCTTACCACGTGGCTGCCTGCAGTGGGATTTCTGGATTCAATTCAAATACCATTTAATTACTGTAGGCAGATGGCAATACTGGCGATTGGAGGAAAATCGAATCAGCATCCCTGGAGACAGGGGGAGCAGGGGAGGGGGAGCAGCAGCTTGGCTTGGCTTATCAGAGCCCTTCAATGAAAGAGGCAGCATCTCCTTCAGCAGCTAGGCCCCAGCCCACCCAGGGAGCCCGCCTGCCAGGAACAAGAGAAGGAACAGAAAAGTGGTCTGAGAAAAAAGACGCAGAGGAGAACCTGAGGGGTTTTAGGGTCCAGGAGTTATACTGTCAGTCATTTACCTCGGGACAGCACATCTTGATGTGGGGTCCCCTGTGGTCAGAGACAGCTATCTAGCCCCACGCTGCCCATTCTAAACATTGGAGTGCTTTGCCAGGGTATAGGTGGATGAGCAGTGTCACCCAGAGATACACAGAGCAGCTGAGAGGCAGAGAATGAACCTTGACTGTGTCACTGATTCCAAAGGCAAATGACCTAGAAGAGGCAGAGAGTGTTAAAGAGGGAGAATGGGGACTGAATGAATAACTGGAGATGGATGCAAAAGAGAACTAAGATTTCACGGACACGCTCCATGTGGTATGCTGGGGCACCACAGACTACCTGATTTAAGTGATGCTATCAGTTACAGATTTCAATTCCTATCCTTCAGAAAGGAAAGGTGAGGCTTAAAGTGGTTAAGTTATATGCACAGTAAATACAGTGAAGTTGGGCATCAATTCCAGCTCTGCCCTTCCACTTCTCCAGCTGCCTCCTATTGGAAAACTCTCAAACCCCAAAATTGCTAAATAAACTTCATCCCCCTCAGCACCACCAGAGCCAGGGAGGCGCTCTGGAAGGAATCCTGTATGTCTGCCCATGCGTGCATCAGGCTGACTGACTCCCCGTCTCAGTCTTCACCACACCCTGGCTGGTGGAGAGTTCAAACTCATACCCCATAGGCAGGGGACCAGGGTCCTTGTACATCTGAGCCTCTGCTTTCTCCTGGGTTATCCAGATGATCTCTTCCCAGTGCTAACTTTCTAAGAACTCCATCACCCTCCCCTCCAGCAGCCTCTTCTGGCCCCACCCAGAGAGGTCACTTCTGTGGGCTGCCCTCAAAGTGGAAGTTCCTGGCTTGGCCCCAGATAAGGGGAAAGAAGAAAATTTCCCCTCATTGCAGAGTGGCAAGGCTAGGAACCACTCACAGCCCTCCTCCTCCCTGGGGACATGGGAGAGGAGTCAGAGGACAGTCTCTAGGGTCTTCCAAAGACACGGTGAGCCCTAGGGGGCGAGAACCAGAGCCAGGACTAGGGGCAGACCAGTGAGGCATCTGTTTTAAGTGCAAAATTTAAGGAGGCAAGAAAAAACCCAGCAATCAATATCAATAATAATACAATATTCAAAAAAATCTATTTGGCAGATGAGGGCCCACAGGCCAGCTGCCTGTTTATATCATGAAATATCTGGAGTCATTTCTGCCCAGGGATATTCTGAATCTAACCTGGGTCATCTCACCCCAACCGCTCCCCCGCCCCCATCCTTCTCTCAGGGCTCTGCAGGGAGGGGAGTGCCGGCTGGACAGCCCCACTCAGAAAGGCCCCCGGAATCTCCCAGAACAGAGCCCAGCCTATTTGCCACTTGGCAACTCACAGGCTGAGCGGCGGCTGAGAGCGGGGTAGGGCAGCGAAGAGAAAGGGCCCGGAGCTTTTCAGAGGCAGGATCTGGTACTGGCAGCGAGGCTGCTGAGCTTCCTCTGTTCACTATTAAGCAGAAGGGGGTGTGATGTGGGAAGCTGTCCCCCACCCCCAGAGAAACGCTCACGCTGGGAGAGCCCCCTCCTCCCCGGCCGATCCCCACCCGCTTGGTGCCCGCGGTGGCGGCGGCGGGACAAAGGCGGCAAGTCGGAGCCTAGAGCTGCGGGAAGAGCTGAGCTCAGCGGTTCCTCAGCTCTTTGGGGAGCCAAGAGTGCAGGGCGGAAGGGGAGAACAGAGGAGACAGGGAGGGGGCAGGCCAGGAGATGCTGAGAGACTGCCAAGGAGAGAAAACGCTGCAAAGGGTACCGACCCTGCACATGCCCGGAGCCCCGCACCCCACCCACGACTTAGGAGCGGAGGATGGCGCTAGCCCGGCGGCCTCAAGCCCGGTCCTTAATGACGTCACCCAAAGCGGGCCAATCACCCCTCCAGGAGCACCGCCCAGTGACCTTGAGTTCCTAGAGGTTGCCCCAGCTTCCCAGGTGAAATTAGTCCCACCCAATCAGAGGGCTAGAGCCCCTCCCAGAGTTCCTAACTGACCTGTCCCCACCAAATCTTTACTTTTAGGCCCCTAGGGGTGCAGCCCTAGGCTTTCCACTTGCATGGTTTTACTTCCCACTGATAACAGAATAGGGAGTGATGGGTCATGTTATTAAAATAACTTAAGAACTGTTCCAGAATCCAGGAAAATTCTTAGAGGTGTAGTGCATGATCTGTGGTGTCTGATGCCCTTTCTTTGCTGGTTCCAGGAACCCCATTATGCCTTGGCTTACTAAACTCCCTCAATTAATGACAACTGCCACACTTAGGCAGCAAGAATGCCTCTTGCTAGACACTATCAAGGATGTTTTGCATGTTAAGTCATTCATTACATTGTTTAGTTCTATGGTGAGTATTTTTGCCCCTAATTTACAAATGAAGGATCAGAGAGACATGTAACTTGGCTCAAGGTCACATAGCTAATATGTAACAAGGTCTTCACCTTTATTAGTTATCAGCACTGAAGATTCAATTCAGAGCAGAGCTGGGGAGAACTAGCATGAGTGCAG